GTTGAGATTATTTTTGTTAGTATATTGTGATTTGTGATAGTTTGCTCCTGGTATGTGTTGTTGGTTTTTGAATTATAAAACAACTTCTGAGAATCTTAACGAGGGTATCAACTATCAAAGTTATGTTCTTACCTTTGTTTGATGAGTGTTGAGCTGAAAACTGTATATTTATTCAGCTTTCTTTTGAAGTTCAAACAAACAATTGGCACCTAACAAGTGGAGTCGGACTTGTTATTAAAGTCGAGTTTATCGACTTCTTGAGCAACTAGACTTATTTATTAAAAAAAAACTTTACATTACTAATTTATTTATTTCAGAACTAAAAAATAAAAGTACATCCAATCGGTCTTAATTTGAAAGAAGAAAAACCCAATTCCTCTTGATATTTTTTAAATATTTTATTAGATCCAATATTAAACAATCTACTTTATTAGATGGATTGTTTATATATAAAAAAAAAAATTGTTTACTACAAAATATCATATTTTGTAAAAATATAAAGTAAAATAATTATTTAACACTTTAAAGATATTATATTTTATACCTTACAAGTGTAAAGTATTGTGAAATGTCACCTGAAATAATAATAATAATAATAATAATAATAATAATCATGGTGGAATTATTGTTGAAATTAATTTGGATCTAACTGAGTTTGGAGATTGGAATCCCCTTCAAAATTACGCAAAGTGTGCAACTCATTGCCAAACTGCCAGTGGCTAGCACAAAAACGTGCATAACTTTGGAAAGGAAAAACGTACAAACGCACCGTTAAAATACTATTTGTGATGCACAGATTTCAGTTACTCGTGATTCAATGTTCCCAACGCTCGTCTCTCTATAAATAATACAGACAATTCATACCCTCCCTGTGCTGCACTACCTCACAAGAATAAGGTAAATCCCAGATCTTAGTTTCTTTGATATTGTCATTACGTGATTCGAGCTGCTTTAATGTTATTGTATTGGTTACTTCTCGATCTATATGATTCCGGTGTGTTTAGATTTAATCTGCGTCCTATAACACGTGGAATCGAGAATCATGTTCCTATCTGTGTTTTGCGTTGTTTGACGCCCTTGTTTGCTTAACATTTCATACAAAGTCTTCATTTTTACTTCGAATTCGATCTCCTAGCATTTTCTTTGTGAACGTGTAATTTGATTACCGATGAAACTGCAGATCAAATTGACCTTGCCATTCATTTTTTCTTCGAATTCGATCTCCTAGCATTTTCTTTGTGAACGTGTAGTTTGATAACTGATGAAACTGCAGATCAAAATGACCTTGCCATTCTGTGTGCTCCACAAGCTGAATTGTTGAATATAAAGCTTATTTCATTCAAAAAGATTGAACCTTTTGTTCAATCTATAATTCATGGTTAAGTGGTGCCTTATTAAGAGTACCTCTTCACGTATTAATTGCAGTCTTGAAATTCAGTCCTTTTCCTGTGGATCTGATATGAATAGCGTCAAGTAGAATGTGTTTTGATCTGCATAATCGTAGCAGAATGTTTCAAATTCATCCTTAAGTCAGATTTTGAAGGTTGCTCTTTCAGCTAATTTCAATCTCCATTTTTTCCATTTCATAATAAATAATCAACAATAAACTAACCCTTTCTCTCTTTATGCATCTATAAAGATAGTTCGTTCACCGGTAAATCATGTGTGCCTTGATTTGAATTAAATATAATTTCTGTAAAAATATTTTTCTGTGTATTCTGATATGTAGTTTTTCTAAAAAAAAAAAAAAGTGTATCAACAGTCATATGATATATTTGCTTTTGCAGATAATACTACCACAATCTCCACAGGCATTATGGGCACTGTTGTTGATGCTGCAAGCAAGGTACTTTCTCTTAAGCTTGTTTATTTCTTTACTTGTTGCAATCTTGACTGGCACCATAGCAACTCTAAACCCTCCCCAGTAGTCATATAAGTCAGCATGTACTGAACTTGCAGGCATCATATGAAACATGATAAGTTCAACACATGACTAACATTTTCCATTTGGTACAGGAAGTCAATGGAAGCTCGCACAAAGACAAGAAGGTGACTGTTGTTTTTGTTCTAGGTGAGTTCTTTGCGACTACTGGTTGCTTATGAAAGATGTTTTTTAGAGTAAACTTAGACGACTTACTTCTCTTGTTTCTGTCAATTAGAATATCTTAGCTGCACAAAGTTACACTAAAAAGAGATTTGTACTCCCCTCCCCTTCAGTCCTCTAGTAACTGTTAAAAATATATTGGATAGCTTTCTTACACTTTCCTTTCTGAATATGAGCAGGTGGGCCAGGCAGTGGTAAGGGCACTCAATGTGCAAATATTGTTGAAAATTTTGGTTATACTCATCTCAGTGCAGGTGATCTTCTCCGAGCTGAGATAAAATCTGGTTCTGACAACGGGTATAATCTTATTACTGTCTGCACCACTACTCGGACAATTGTGTTCTTCAAAATTTTGAAGATTTTTCTTTTATTTCCTAAAGTTAACTTTAGCTGTGATATATATATATATATATATATATATGTAGGACCATGATTCAGAATATGATTAGGGATGGAAAAATTGTGCCTTCAGAGGTAACAATTAAGCTTCTCCAACGAGCAATAGAGGAAAAGGACAATGATAAGTTTCTCATTGATGGTTTTCCTCGCAATGAGGAAAACCGTGCAGCATTTGAGTCTGTAGTGAGTCTTATATTTTCCTCTCTCTCTCTTTGACATATCTCATAACACATGTCATTGTGAAATGCATATACATGTGTTCTTTATATTTTAGAATTTAGACCATTTTATTTAATTATGCCTATGAAATGCTTGCTTTTGTCATGCAATTTTGTATGCCTGTTGATTATATTTACTATTATCCCCTTTGTTGTGGTGATTTGATCATCAACTGATTACACAGAATCCATGTAAGTTGACCTGCTCTGGTTTTTCTTTTTCTGTAGACTGGAATTGTGCCAGAATTTGTACTCTTCTTTGATTGTCCAGAGGAGGAAATGGAGAGGCGTCTGTTAAGTAGGAACCAGGTGCATTACATTAAATATAATCCACCTTTGTTTTCCTCTCATTCTTCATCTGGTTCTATTATGTATCTATTCTTATTTATTTCTGTTATTTATTTATTTGTTGCGTGCATGTTGTTTTCATGTTTGCAGGGTAGAGAAGACGATAACATAGACACAATAAGGAAGAGATTTAAGGTGTACATGGAGTCTAGTCTCCCAGTTATTGAATATTACAATGCGAAAGGGAAGGTCCGCAAGGTAAACTTCTATCATCAGGCCCGACTTTTATCATGATTACTTCATCTGTTATAGAACAAGTATAATGACATTTAATTTTCCTTTACTATTTTTCTTGTTTTGAATTTTCAATTTAGATAAATGCTGCAAGACCAGTTGAAGAAGTTTTTGAGGCTGTAAAAGCTGTTTTCTCCTCGCCCGTTGGCAAGGTAAATATACTTAGCAGTAATTTAATCGTCTTCAGATGAGACTATTAACACTAAGTTGAAGTAAACCTTTGGTATTCATCCTTTTTAGTTCTTTCTGGTTTCTGCTAAAACTATTCTTGATTGTTTGTTACAGGCTGCTGCTTAGTATGCTATCATACTTTTGTCGCACACCTGCACCGCATTCTAGCCTAGGTAATATAAATTGTTAAATTGGTGTTAAATTAAGTCTCATGTTAAACGTGTTCGTTAGCACCCTTTTATGATTTTATCGGATCTTATATAACATTTTGCATTCCCTGTTTTGAAATTTCATGCAGGTGATTTCGTAATATACAGATATACGTAGTTGGTTTCCTTCCCCATTGGAGTTGATGGGTTAACTTTATTGTTTTTTCTTTTTATTACTTTACTCGTTATATCATAATGTTGTTTCTAGTACAAGGTGTTGCGGCTATATTGGTGAAATTTGATGGAAACACTGAAAACTGCTGATTTGGTTCATATTGATAAACAATGTTGTTTGATGGGAAAAATGAGTTGTTTCATTCCTTAAATAATTAGAATGCAGTGCTAAACTTAAGTGTGTGGTGAAGAAGAGGAATTAAGTCACTTAATATAATTTGAATATGATAGGTATTTCGAGGAGCAATTATAATGAACGGTACAACTTTACTAGGTCGGATCCCATGAAATGTTCCCAGTATAATAAACCGCCAACTGGTGACCAAACAAATAAAGTACATTTGCCTTTGAGAGTAATTAACCGGTTTAGAAACGATATCACCATGGATAACCGTCACCTTTTGGCTCCACAACTTCGATAGGTATGTCAAAGCTCAAACCCAGTTGAGCAACATTAATATTTTCCATATATTTTTTTTTTTTTTTTTTTTTNGTCTTAACATATTTTCCATATATTAAGTTATAAAAAGAAAATTAAAACAAGGAGTTTTGTAACAAAATGAAAATGAGACGTAACTCTCTCTAGTATTTAGTGACCGTTTTGCGTTAAATGGATAGATAGTGTACTCGGTAAGTTTCTAAATTGCATTTATGGGTTCCCACTCCAAACTCATTGTAATAATTTTGGCAAGCCAATTTAATTTTCATATTGCTATAAGATTTGATTGCATCTCAACAGAAAGCGATGAATAGTTGCAGACTCACTTCAACTATCACTCCACTTCCTATTGACAAAAGCTCAAGTTTGTAGTTGCGTCAGTTCAAATACTTCTTCGCATGCACGTTTTCCAGATAAAGAAATAAAAGACGCACGAACTATCAGTCCAGTATAACATGCAAAACTATCATTAGACGAGGACATTTAACAAAAAAACAACATACAACATTTATTTCGCAGCTCTCAAATTACATGGATCCATATAAATGAAATAAAAATAAAAGTTGTTCCTTCATATACCATCAAAATTGAATTGAGATAGCCAACAAAAACATGCACTGAATCCCGTAAATTTGGAATCGGCAATCAACTTTTCACAAACACAATAATACATATGATAATTGATTAGGTAGTAATGTATGGAGCTGGTAAGAATGGGAATGGTGCAACGGAGGCATATGCAACTGGTGGTCGGGTTGGGATTGTGTTTTTCAGAGGGTGGAAGGAAGATGAAGAAGAAGAAGGATCATCTCCTCCTTGTGTTTCCTGAGGAAGATGATGAAGTACAAGTCCACCCATAAACACAGGAAGATAAAGGAGGCTCCCATGGAACATTCTCCTCGCGTTTTTTATTGTACGGTTTAGAAAGAATGATGTTGCAGTCCAACTGATTGCAAGAGCAAGCGCTGTGGACTCAGCAAAGAACCACCCTGAAGTGATACCCCCTGCACATAATAATTATCGACACAATCATCTGTAAATGAAACAGCACATAAATGTATTATATCTAATGAAAACTGTCCGTCCGCCCAGTTACAATGGTCACTCACAGTCATAAGCCAGATACCCTAATGGAAGCAGATAAAGACAGTTCCTCAGAGAGACAAGGGCTGTTCTGCGACCACAAGAATCAGCAAGTGAAAACATCTTGAACCTAACATTGAAAACCAAAAAACAAGAGTTTGTTTATATAGGACACAAAAACTGGGAAATATATTTTAAAAGATATCAATCTACCACCAACCGAAATTAATGACAACACATACATACCCTCCATCTGCATAATCTTTGCGGCATAAGTAAGCAAGAGCCATAAAATGAGGTATTTGCCAAAAATATAGAGCAGCAGGAAGTATCATCCCATTAAGGGAGATCTGCCCCGAAGCTGCACCCCACCTTTGGAAACAGCAAATACAACTTGTCAGAGAGCTGTTAAAATTGATTATTCATAATATTATTCATGAACATCATGATACAAACACACGCACACTCCCTCCTAATAAACTTGCAATAAGGCACTCAGCTTGTAAATCATTCTCATGCAGATTAATGTCTACAACAACAAATTTACCACAAAAAAGAAATGGAAAACAAGCAACACTGATTTGAACAAAGCTCCCTTTATAAATGGATCCATGTGTGGCACTACCATCTGAGTTCAAAACTGCATGATGCAAAACTTGACATTCATTAGGGCATGATTTTCCTTTTTTTGTTCCCCAAAACCATACAAGAGTATAAATAACCAAAATATGCTGCACAACGGAAAAGCTGAAATGACGACGGATGCCAATGACAAGGTTGCTTAATTGCTTGGAAATGGTGTAATTGCAACATTATCAGGCCACTCTAATCTAAGCAAATGCTCAACTATCAAAATGGCTGCCCCACTTATTCTATGTTATGCTCATTCTCAGCATTGATACTAAGACAAAAATACAAAAACATTCTCTTAATTCTGCAATGAAAGTTTACAGCCAACATTTGAAGAAGCTGTAGGCTCTTTTTTCTATCCTTCTATTTTCAGTTTAAAGGGATAGGCACCTTGAACTGTCCAAAAATATTGAACAGCGAAAATGCAGAATTTCAACACAGTATGATTGTATTTTGTACAAGCTACATGAACGGAGCAAATATGCAGGAACTCAAACTAATTACATTTTTCAATCAGTGGACTTTGTATTGCATCAAAATATTATCAGTCCTTAAGCATGAAAAAATCCAAAATGATTTCAAGAGATTGAGCCTTCTAAGATCATATCATCCAAACATAAAAAAAACTCTAGTATCTAGCAATAACAATAACTACTAAACCAACAATGAAAACACTTATCCATGATTTATGCCTTGTTTCATATGATCTATCATACAGAAACAGATTTATGAACTTAACAGGGATGCTTATTCCATTGTTTAAACTATCGACTTACGGGTCATGCAATGTCATTACCATCTAATCAATCTATCTATCTATCAAAAGAAGGAAATAAACAAATTTGGATACTCTATAGATGAGAAGTTCTCCATAATAATGTACATGAAATTCTACTACAAAAATAAATAATTTACCCAAGAAGAGGTGGGATTGCACCGACTATAGCTCCAACCCAAGTGTTAACTGGATGAATCTGCTTCAAAGGAGTATATACAAATGCATAAAGCACGAGATTAGATACTGCAAGTCCAGCCGCCAGCATATTAGCCTGCCACAAGAAATTCCAGAATCGATCCCTTAGTAATAACATTTGAACAATGTTACAGATCACCCGTAATATTATCAAACATAAGAGTCCATAACCACCTTGCAAGCCAAAAGAGCAGTGCCGCCTATACCCATTGAAGCAGCCCAGGCAACTGCATGTGGTATAGTAATACTTCCTGAGGGCAGTGGCCTGTGTTTCGTTCTATTCATTTTCGCATCATTTTTCACCTCAAACACCTATGTCATTGGAAAGTGCAAAGCTAAGTTTGAGCCAAATGAAGGTAGAAAACAAGCACCAATTGTAGTGCCACTAGACACCTTAAAAGGAAGAAGGTTATACAAAACTGAGCGCCATATGGGTTCCAGACTTTAAGAGGAAGAAGGTTATACAAAACTAGCCACTAGTCTTTAGTGGCTAGATATTTAAATATTTTCTAAATAAGAACTTATGCCTTCTCCTTTATTTATTTGTTTTCCAGACTAATTAACCAAAGATGACATAGAAGGGCAGTACCAATAAATAACCAAAAACCCAAAATGCCCTCAGGATCATGTTGACTATAGAAACTTGGTATGGCATAATGTGATTCAAGCTAATTCGTTCAGCCATATACTTATTATTCTAAATTTTCTAAAATATCTGCATTACAAGAATGGAAAACAAAAATGCAGAAGACCTGGTTCAACGAGTTAGCAGAAGCTGCAACCATCATGGTGCCAGCACAAGTGCAGCAAAGGCCAAGATAGTCTATGGAACCACCACTCCCAAGTATATATCCAGTACCAGATGTAGCAACCACTAGCATGCTGGAGATAAAGATTGAAAGGATGAGAAAAAAATAAACACAACAGTGTAATTCTTCACTCCTCTGCTTATCCGTTGGTTTTGACGGATCCAATAAAAGAAAAAAATCATAATTAAATGTAAGCTACCCGTAGAATACTTCAGTCAGCATTTTTCCATATTGGGTAGGAAGTGGCATACAGAAACCATTGAGTCTTCAACACAAAAGGTAAACCGAAATATAATTTTATCTATGTTCATCTCAACAATTACAGATAATTTCCACAAATGAATTAGTGGTATCGACGTATAGCCTTGGTAGAGACAGAACTTAAAAAGGATGTTAAACAATTAAACTTAAGAGAACCTGAGGCGAGCTTTGGAAAGCTCCCAATAACATCGGCCATAGTGCTTAGCCAAGTCCGCTACCTCCTTGGCCTTAAAAAAAGATGCAGCAGTCAACCGCGGAAATTCAATGGCACTAGCAGAAGTTGAACGAGCCCCGGATTGGAACCATTTTAGGGTATCTGTGGTTAATGTGGTCTCCGGGGCGGAGAAATTGGATCGAGCGAGGAGACCATGGCAACTAGCAGATTTAGGGGAACTTCCGAAGAGGTAAAGTAGAGAGGAGCCGGAGTTAGAGTAGGAAAGTTTGGATGAGAGACTGAGTGAGTTTCTTCTCCACATTGCTGGTTATGTCAGCTTTCTGATTTATATACCTGTTGGGTCGGAATCAGGAATCAGTTCACATATATGCAAGAAGATGGTTTACGTTCAAGTCAAGGAGAGAATTGGATTTTCTCAAAATAGAGAGAGTCTTTTATGCACGGGAATTTGAATAGAAACCTAAGAAGCTCTTTTTGCGATTCCCCGATCAGAGGCTAGAAAAATCATTCTTAGGTAAGAAGTACCTATACTGACTTTCTTTTCAGAAGGAATAGTAGTCGGGCAAGGGCTTTTCTATGACTTCCGTATTTCTCACGATTCAGGAATTGAACGCAAGCAAATTACCTACTTATTGTACTCTTATCAAACCGCCGGCCATATTCTCACCAGCGGTTACAGTTCTCCGACTCCAAAACACCAATTGCCCCATTTTAGCCAAACATAGAAAAGTTATCATTTTAATCTACGCGTACCTTTTTCAACTCGAAACCTCGATTAACCTCTCCTCTGCTATTCCTCTCCCGGAATTTCCAAACCTGTCCACATCAAAATGAGATTTTTAAATCAAGGCCAGTACTTGGAATTTCAGTTCAGCTGAATTCTCCGCACTCACCGCCGCTGGGACGCCTTTGGTCTGACCTATGTGTGCGAGGGTGGGCGTGCGGGCCTGGGAATATTTTTTCTCTGCTCGTCTCACGAGATCATAGAGAAATTTGAGGGCGTTTACAGTTATCTGTTGTAGCTTTTGTGAGATTTTTTTGTGAGCGGTCCATGTGCAAGAGATAAGAACGGGTTCGTGTAGGTGTAGCTTAATTTATTTGTTGGTGAAAGCAAGTCTTTTGGTTATGGTTATGGCCTGAAGAATACATTTTTAGTTTTACTACCCCAAATTCTTCATCCCTACTATTGTCCCAAGTCCTATCTTATTTTTTGCTTGGAGAAAAAATTGGTGAAAAATTTTAAAATATGAAATAAGGTGATATCCCTCCCTCAATATGTAAATGATAGTTATGCGTCAAATATGGTGCTTTATTATTTAATTTATCAAATTATGGTGCTCTGTAATTTTATGTGTGAATTTTTTATGCTTCAGAATAACATGTACATACTAAATATTTATCTATAACTATTATGACTTTTTACTTTTGTATTTGTTTAATCTCTTAACCATGTAATCTAGGAGTATAGTACTATTAAAGAGTAAAAAATAGGAAAATTATAGAATAAGAAGTTATAGTTACAAACTTAAAGTGTATAAATAGTGAAATTTGTAAATAAATGTGTTAAATTGATTCATTGTCAATTTCAAATTTAAATTGGGAAGATAGAAAAATAAAATGAATGAATACATATATTTCAATGTTATTNATTGTGAATCATCAAAGTAGAATAGTTAATTCAAATGTACTTATGTGCAAAAACTTTAAATAAAACAACAACAAAAAATGGAAAGCTTAAACACGTTTACATTAAGAATGTCTTCAACTTCAAGTGCTCCACTTAAAAGGAGTTAAGAAACCAAGTTTGAGCACTCCTCCCTCTAAGTTTCCTTGCAACTACATCTCCACATAAACACACGATCCATCGAGAATGATGATGATGATGGTATTCCGGTCCTCATCATATATACACTACACATAGATGGTATGATATATAGATGAAAATAAATAAATATACAGATGCTTAATTAATTATACCGCAAGCACATCATTAACAACCCCTCTATTACTACTACTACTACTTCTGTCCTCAAACCTTATGTACTTGTACCATCTTGCGCAAAACACATAGACCACAAAATCAGCAGTTGTAAGAGCTGCCAATAGGTAATAAAAGTTGTCCAAATGCCCATTGTTAAGGTTCCTAGGAATCCAACCGGGCATATCATCAGAAGTGGAGGCCTTCATCACAATGCTGACGATCAAGCTGCTGACATAGTTCCCCAACGAAATCGAAGTCATACTAAGAGCACTCCCGAAGCTTTTCAACCCATCCGGTGCTTGACTGTTGAAAAACTCCAACTGTCCAACATACATAAAGACCTCCGAGGCCCCAATCAACACGTACTGTGGTATCTGCCAGAATATGCTCAAGCTGCTCGACGACTCCTCCTCCTCTGATTCCCGCGCATATTTCAACCGGAAATGTTCGACAGCTCCCGCGGAGAGCATGGCAGCCACGGCTATGATGAGGCCGATGCCCATACGCTCGAGCTCTGTGAGGCCATTCCCCGATTTTCTAAACCTAGAGACAATGGGAATGATGATGCGGCGACTAATGAAGATGAAAGAGGCGACACTTAGAATGTCGAAGCTGGACATGCTGGCCGGGGGTATGTGAAAGCCCGAGAGGGTTGTTTTCATTGCGGCACCTTGTTCCACGAAAAGGGATGTCATTTGAGTGAACACCACTGAGTAGAGGATAGTGCACAACCAAATCGGGAGGAGTCTTAGTATGCATTTTACTTCTTCCACTTGTGTTACAGAGCAAACCCGCCATGGATTAATAATGTTATCATCTTCTTGTGTCACTACAGCAGCTTTGTCTAGAAATCTGCAATAATCATCATCATCATCATCAACTTATTATGATTATTATTTAATCATTGAATACAATAGAATATTCTTTCTTATGTGCAGAGATTGGATTATACATTTATACTATACTACTCACTTGAATCCCTGTGTATGAAGTATTTTTCTTCCTCCATTATCAGCAAGATCACTTCCTTGTACTTCATATAAACAAACTCCGTTATCGGCCACTTCAACTTTCCATTTTCTAAATGCTGCAGTTAGAACCTGACAGAATCTTGAAAAAGGGTTGCCTTTTGGTGTGATGTGCCTATATATTGGTGTTCCAAGCAGGAACAGAATCAGTGCAAGTGTAGCAGAGCCAGCAGATGCCCAGAAGCCAATAGCCCAAATGCCCTTATCCTCATAATACCCGAGCACGGTGTTTGAGAAAAGACTTCCCAGATTCAATGCCAAGTAAAAGTAGCTAAAGAATGCAACTTTTGAGTGGCTCTCCTTGGGATGATCTTCGTCAAATTGGTCGGCTCCAAATGTAGCAATAGTGGGTTGATAGCCTCCATTTCCAAGGGCGATTAGGTAAACCGATACATAAAATAGTGCTAGATGGATAGTGGAATGAGGTGCGCAAGAAGTTTTCCCATCCCCACAACCGCTCGGCTTCACTAGGAACAAGTATGATGACAGTGACAACAAAACCAATCCCTGAGGAAAATATACATCCATACATCCATCACTCGCCATAAATTAATACTATATAATTGTAACTAGCCTAGCCTGCAGAAAGGGAAATTAAATATACTTACAATGACAAATATGAGTTGAAAAATGGCGCAAGTTTTGTATCGACCCCAATATGAGTCACTGAGGAAAGCCCCAAGAAGAGAGAACAAGTAGACAGTGCCCGTCCATTTGCTCACATTGTTTGCAGCAGTAGCATTGTCTTGCCCCATCACTCTCGTCAGGAACAACACTAGATTCACACCAACTCCAAAAAATGCCAGGGTAGCAAGACCTTGATTCACTGAAATTTATTTATGTATTTATAGCTACTTTTTAGCAACTAATACATATAGTTACATACATACATGGACATATTTTTATGTATATATAAAAAACAAGAAATGCGCCAAGTAAAGAAAACTACTTTTAACAAATTTAATTTCACTAGCTAATTACCAAGTATCAAAATACCAGCACCCCATGTTCCACTTCTTGATCGAATGGCGGGTCTTCCATGACGATCTACAGAACCATCAAAAGTGCATTCTTGTTCTCGTTTCAAATCCTTCTTCTCCATTTCCTCTTCTGTCAAGAAAAATCATATAAAATTTTTATAGACATCTTTCTGTACAATACCTTTTTTCTTTTTTTATACATATGTGACAATAACAAGTTGATGAATGCAATGATAATATATATAGCTTTTTTTTTGTATGCATGCCCTGTAATTGAACTATTGTCTCAATATATATTAGAAATGTGTATTTAAAGTTTTAATGAGTATACATATATATAGTTGCATGTCAATATAAAGTATGAAAGTATAATTAAGTAGAAACATATAGGCATATGAATGAAAGCATGCAGAGAAATCATATAAACCATCATACTCCATTAATAACCAAATGAGAAACAATATATAACAAGCGGCTCCAAAATAAGGAATCTAATTAATCACAAAGAAAGTATATGTACACTTGCTAACCTGATTTTCTGGACAAGATTATTAATTAGTTGAGCAAGCTAGTTTTGATGATATATGTGATATTATATGTATATATGGATTTTATTTTTCTCAACTTGTTATGTGAAGAATGGTGGAGAAGGTGATATTCAGGAAATTAATGTATATAATTGTTTGTTTGGTTGAGATAGGATGAGAAGCTGATCATAAATGGCAGATACATTTATAGAGCCGCCTCATGAGCTAGCAACAAATATTTTAAGGAAAAATAAAAAATAAAAAGAAAAATAACAATTAAAATATGAGTGAGGGGAAATTGACTAAAGAAGCGTGATTTGGTTGAATTCATGATTTAAAGGTGATGACTATGTATCGGTGTCTTTTTCTCTGTAACCCAAACAAGTTGGGACCAAGCTGTACTGATTTGGACATGTTTGAATTTGAACCAGTTTTTGTAATGCATATGGTGTATTTATTTATTAATTAATTCATTGGCACGCAAAAATAAAAACTTAACCATCATCTATATGTATGTATATGTGATACATACTCTTTTTCCCGACAATGAGTCCTAGGGATGTAATTGGGGCGGGGCGGGGCGGGGCGGGGGCGGATTTTGGCAAACCCAAACCACCCGTGTATAATTTATTCTACCTGTACCCGATCCATTACTCGGTTAGTGAACTTCGGGTCGGGTTGATTTTTACCCAACGGATTATCGGGTATTCGTTGGGTAAACTGGTAACCCCAATTCTTAAATTTCGGTTTTATCCGGTCCCAACCCGACCCGACCTGTTTCATGTATAAAAAAATAAATAAAATAATTCCACAATTAAATATAATGTAATTAACAATTTATTAGCTAAGTTTGACAAGAAAATGATTATAAAAAAATCTAATATTATTTTTGGAATAAATATTGAGATATAATTATTTACTTTTTATAGTCTAATTAATAATATAACATTTAAATATTAAGTGTCTAATTTTTGTATTGTACAACTAAAAGAAAATTTGATAAAAAAATCATAAAAATAAAGTAAAACTAGTATTCGACCTGTGCATTTGCACAGATATAAATAAATTATTGTGAGTCTGTATGCATATAATGATTAATTAATTTTCTTTCACTTTTTTGCAGACCAAATTTACAATTAAAAGAGTTGGAATATTTTTTTTAAATTGCGTTTATCTGATTGGATGTAATGTATGTTTTGGTACGTCTTTTATTTGTGAATTATTTATTATATATTTAGGAATTTCAAATATATTTTTTATTTAAAAAAAAAATTAAATGTAACAACAATAATAACATCTAATCACATTATACGGTCAACACATTATATGGTCAACTGTCATTAATAAAAAATTTAAAATAATTTTTATAATTTTGAAGTGATGAGTATTAATTATTTAATGATTAAATGAAAGATTAAATACATCAAAATGTAACGGTTTTTGGAGGGAAAATTGTTAAATTGCCACATAGGTAAAATTAAATAGGTTTTATTAAATGTTTTGAGCTAGTAATTATATATATATAGATTTAAACCATTAACCAAATTTATAATAACTAATATAATTTTACATTTATAATATGATATATAAATATACATACATATATATAGATTTTTTTACCCCAACAACAAAAATTCAAGTGAACTGGACAAGAACAAAACAAAAAAAAAAGTTGTGGAAAAACATCAAAAGCACGTATTATGAGAATACGTTTTTCATATAATTTACATTGGAAAATGTATTCTCAGAATACGTTTTCAAAAAAAATTTATAAAGAAAACGTATTCTGAGAATACGAGCTTTTGATTTTGGTCTAGATTTTTTTTATTTGTTTTTATTTTTATCCACTTGTTTTTTTGTTTTTTATATATAAAAATTTCCCTATATATATATATAAGATTTATTGTTTGCGGGTAAACAGGTAAGGTAATCGAGTCGGGTAACGAGTTTTTCTACCGCACTCGAACCCGACCTGACCCGGGGTTCGAGTAGCATAATTCTAACCAAACCCGACCCAAAATCCCATCATCTCGTGGTCACCCGACCCGAAAATGCGGGTAACCCGCAAGTTACTCGACCCGAGTTTTATTGACATGTCTAACAATAGCACAACTTAAAAAATAAAAAATAAAAAAAATAAAAAAAAAAAAAATCTGCCTTCCTTTATTTACCACATTAATTACTTTTGTTGATTGGCATTGGCAGCACCTTTTACATCATGTCTGCGCATTACATGGTTCCCCATTTACTTTGATCTCTTTCTTTTGAATTTTGAAGTGAAAAAGCCTACTTATCTCCAAGACTCCAACGAATACCATACTAAAAGCCAAATTTTAGCGCTGAATTTGCTCTTATGCAACTCTAAGTCATATAATAAAATATTTATTTTAATTATATATCACTGTCGCATAAACAACTACTAGTGTACTGCAACAGTTGGATTTATTCCTCAAAACTTTTTTCTAAATTTAATTGTAAATTTTTTTCTTAAAAATTAATCATTTGATTATAATAAAATAAAAAAGAAAAATACAAAGTATAAAAAAAATTTCACATATTATTAAGCACTTCTCTATATACAACATTCTTGGTTTGGTAAAAGTTTAACTATTTAATATTTTTAATTAAATATTAGTCATCTTTAACGCAGAAAACTAACGTTTTAGAAGCTCACATGACTGTCATTCATTCACACTCTCTATCCCAACATATGAAAGTGGCATTTGCAGAAGCCAATAACATCTAAAAATAATAAAATATAATAAAATTGCATAATTATATTGAATATAGAATTCATATAAAAGAATTTAAACATAATAATAGGTTTACATAAAAAAAATGAATATAGGACTTACCAAACAACATGGATTCATCGATGTTGTCTACAGCACGCAAAGTGAGAAAACTTCTAAAAGAGAATCGAAACAATGGAAATGACCCATTAAATTTATAGAATTCGATTCTCCCATGAAGTATGATGCGATATTTGTCAATAGTTGATTTGTGAATGTCAATGTTGCTCTCCACTTGATAATGATGAAAGACATAAACTTCTCCATCCTTAAGCTCGTCAATGAACTTGGGTATGTGAACATGCCTAATGAGACCGACTATCCGCCAACCCTTTAAAAAAACAAATTATAATACGATACATGAAAAAAAAAAAGAAATTAATAATAAAAAGAAGTGACAAACCTCACTAACATGCAAAATTAACTCAAGCACATTTTTATAAGAAATGTTCTCGGACGATCTTTGAATCATGCGAATAATACAAAGCTTGAGCAATGCCCTATTGGACCTCTAGACTTGATCAAACTCCATGGTGGTGTCATTTTTAAACAATTAAAAATTAAAGATTGTATTTCTAAGATCTACTTCGTAAATTGAGTGTGTTGAATGCAATAATCACGGTTTGCATTGGTCTATTTATAGTGAAATTTATGTACATTTTATTTGTTAATTAGATCAATGCAAATACTTTTAGAGATTTAGTTTATACTTTTAACGTTACATATCCAATTTTTTATTGGCAAGATTATAAAAAATTTCAATTTGTCCGATTATTAATTGGAATAAAAATTGTGCAAATTAGTTTTACTTTCTTAGGGTACTATTTTTGAATTTTAACAAGGTTAAATTACTATCAATTATAGTTTTAAAAAAACTTAAATTGTGCTACCTCATGGAATCAAAGTTTAGAATTTATATTAAAAAAATACGAATCGTAATCTAATACTTTTTTTAAATGAAATTTACTTTCCTGACTGTAGTGAACTTTTTTTAGAATTTTATTTTTGTCATATTACTACAAATATGAAAAGAATCGAATCTAATTTTTATTTTTTTTTTGTAAATGAAATTTATTTACTTTCCTATCTTTAGTGAACTTTTTTTACAAATATTATTTTTGTCATATTACTATCAATATGAGTTTCAATATCTTCAAAATATGCTTATTTTAGGATTATTACATATCTGTTTTTTAGTTCGGGTATTATAAAAATTTCCAATTGCCCGATTATTACATTCGGATAATTAATCTGATTTGAGTTTTTATTAGAAATATCTAAATTTGATTAGTATAATGCTTTAAGAACTCATTTATATTTTAAACAGCCCTGTATTTAGGAGTTTGAATATATTGAAATTATGTTGCGCGGGGAATTAATGACAATGTTGGGCATTTAAAAAAGGTTGATGGTAACAGTCTTTGTAAGTTTATCATTGTGTGAATTTGAATGATAATTATGTTTTGAATTAGTTTTAATTATGATTATGAACAAATGAACCAAAAAAAAAGAAAAAATCATTCAGATTTTCATAGGTGAAATTGGCAAAAAAAAATCGGCTGAGTAATCTAATTGTTTAAATTAACTAAAATTGTATTTTCTTATATGCAAGAAAATCATAATTTAACTGTAGTTTTTAAAAGAATAAAAAGCATACATATCCGATAGACACAAATTTAGGGCCGATTTTGTTTTCTAAGCTGATTGAAATATGGTCGATTTTCTTTCCAAACAGTTCAAATTTTAGAATTTCTGGCCAAAAAGAATACTCAATATACCGAAGCGAGAATTTTCAAATTTTGGTAAAAAAGATTACTCAATATAGTAAATATTTAGGCGGGAAACCAAATGTTTTTTTGCTGATTTTTTAGTTGCTATTTCAAATAAATATCATAGCCTCTTTATATATTAATTAGTGTATATCCCGTGCGATGCACGGAAGAGTTCATATTTTAAATATTTTTTAGACTTTATTTTAAATATAATTATTTATATTTTTCACTTCTCGTCTATTATAAAAATAAAATAAATACAATCACCAAGAGGTCAACTTTGTCGATCCAACGAACTTTTCGAAGCGCACATGTCAATCTGGGCCCGGTTCACGTCAGCTTGGTGGGCCATGCCTCTCGCGGTTTGCATTCCATTCTTATTATTTAAGACCGAACTAAGGATCGTAATGGACTGACAGATCAGCTCCAAGGCCTGAGTGCCTAGGTTGCAGTGGTAAGAGT